TATTACTACTACTACTCCTACTCCTACTCCTCCTACTCCTACTCCTACTCCTGCTCGTAGTCCCTAGTCCTACTCCTACTCCTACTCCTACTGCTACTGCTACTGCTACTGCTACTGCTACTGCTACTGCTACTGCTATTGCTGCTACGACTGCTACAGCTACTACTCCTTCTGCTGCAGCTGCCATCAAGACCTACCGCCGTAAAGCGCCGAACCTTGTGCCGATGAGCTCGAACGCCCGAGCCGCAGCTCTAAATCACGCCCAAACCGAAAACAAGTTATTCAGTTTGGACAGGTCGTCCTCTCTCTGCAGGAGGAGCAGCTGCAGGGCATTGAGCCAGACAAGGCATTTTGGACATTTGGGAGTTTCTGGTCAAAGTTTAGGGGTGGAGCGTTCTGACGTGATTTTTTGGGGTTTGAGCCTTTGGATGTCAGTTCTTGCTTGGTTCGGTTTGCGGCTGCGTGGTCACGGCCTGGTCACGCGTCACGGACGTGGTCTGCTTTTGGAGCTTTGGGGCTCGGGGTTTTGGAGTCTGTGTGTTTACGGCGTTTAAGTCCAGTTCCGTAGGGACAAGGCGCTTCATTCTACGAGCAACAGACTTCGGGTTTGGCGTTGGGGCCTTCAAGTGTTGGGCACCTGGTTGCACGGAGGTTCCGAAGTAATCGGTGGAGCCGCATGAAGGGCGTTTGCCACTCGTGACGGTCTTGAGCGGGTTTCTGTTGTTTGGCTATTGGATTTCAGCTGCTTGTGTATTGGTCCGGAAAGCCCTACGATGCGTTGCCGCATGTGCAAGCTAAGCTTCACGCTTTGTTTGGGGATGCAAGAGTTGGGTTCATGGGGGCTGAGAGTTCAGAGATGTGGGGTTGCAGGTTTCAAGGTTCTGGGCTTACGGCTCTGCCGCGCCACATCTGCAGAGTGGTATGGGCGGCAGTAAGCAAGTCTTGGCTTTGACATCTTCGATGTCTTGCAGCTCATACAGCTCAAGACAACACGATAAAGTGCTTGACAACGCCCACAGCACAGCTCTGCACAGCACGGTACAGGCAATGCACTTATCGGATTTCCCAAGTTTTTCCCAACAGCCGAGTCCGCGGGCATCATCTCTCTGCAGCTCAACACAAAATTCAGCTCCCTTTCTCTTTATTATGCCCTGCAAGGGTTCGTTTGGATGGTAGCGGAACGCCATGATCCTGTACAGAGATGCCACTACAGGCAGCTACTCGTAGGGTCTTCGGGTCCTCGCTTGTGCGGCATGGCACTGAAAGTTGCGCTGGTGCAGCTCGAGCAATCGCCCGTGGAGGGCCCGGAGGACAAGGCCACGTTACGGTTTCGGTTTTCAGGGGTCGGGGTGCTTTGCAGTGGAAAGATAGCCACAAATTCTAGCCCTCAGCACTAAGCCCTAAAACCCTCTTCGGGGCGGGGTGCCCGCAGCAGGAGAAGGCCGCCCAGCGCGCCGCAGATCTGCTTCGATCGGCGCCCGAGGCAGTGCCTAGACGCGAGGATGCTATGAGGGTTGTCATAAGCTTCAGTATAATAGGGCTACCACAAGGGATACTTTCCTGCAACTTAGTTACAATGGGGGTTGCTGGAAAGGGCACCGTTACGGGTACTCAGCACAAGGGCTTAACGGGCTTAACCATTATGCTGACCCCAGACGGGTTACCATAAGTGCTGAAGTGCATGTCACTTTCCTTCGATGCTCGTAGGCCCAAGCACAGAGCGGTCTTGAGCATGCCTTTCTAACAAAACACATGTATCATAGTCGCCGGTGCCACGTCCAAAGTAGCACAGACTTCACCTTTCGTTGTTGGTTGTTAGTGCGCGTGGGGTCTCCGCCTCAGGGCGAGCCATGTCTGGGGGTTCAGGTACACGATGGTACAGGGGAATTGATCACTCGACGTGCGTCTTATTCCCAGCCTGCCTGGTTTGCACCAGCCATAAGTGTGACAGGAAAGGTGCCACTAGTGTTTCTTTGCGGGCTCTTGAAGGGTCACAGAGGTCTATAGGGTTTTGATACGCAGCGCACTTCGTTGGGTTAGGTTTAGGGTCTCGGCATTTTAGGGATGGTTTAGGGTTGGGGGTTTTCGTGGTTCTTGATGCAGGGCTTGAGGGGACATCATAAGGGTGCCGGGCTTGGATTCTGGGTCTTTTGGTGGCGAGGCTCCTTTTAGGGTCCTTCTCAGATGGGTGCCGTGCTATATGGGAGCAGGAGCCTCTTTTTGCCTGAAGCATCTATAAAGGCCCCCAAGCGCCCAGGATATCTACGTGCTTCCCGAGCTTGCGCCAGTTGGCTGCTTGGCAAGTGAGTTTCGGAGCCTGGAAGATGGTCAGAGGCATAGTTCTACTCCCTTACGAAAAAACAACAATAGGGATCTATAGTAAATACTAGGGTTTCATTAATTATGAGAGCTTAACAAGTTTCTTAACAAGAACCCAGTTTAGCTTGACTGTCTACTGTTTACGGTTCTGTCACACAACCCCCAGACCCCATGCTCGCAGTTTCCGCCTCCATTGTTCTAAGAACTCCCTTTTTGAGGGCGGTTGGCCCCCCCCGTTCAGCCCGAATCCTGAATCTGCATCGCACATACTACGATGCAGCGTAAACCTCCAGAGCCTCCGCTATCGCATGAGTGTTTGGGGTTTGTTCCTGAGATTATGGTGGAGGCTGCTAGGCACGAGATCGACAAGAGCCCTAGCAACAAGATGCAACAAGAACCGTTTGGATCCAGGCGTGCTTCGCAGATGCTAGGGTTGGACCTGAACTGGGACACCTTGGGAGTCTGCCTGATATTGTAGGGCTCCAGGCTTGAGATCCTAAGCCCTGAGACGCAAGACCTGACAGCCTTCATGCACAGCCCTGGCATTCAAAAGGCTTAGGACAACCACAGCCCAGAGGGGTTGAGAAGGGGTTCTTCTGTGTGCAAGAAGGGATGAGGCAGGGGCCAGTGGAAACCCAAAGGGTTTGGAGGCAATCTAGTCTTAAGTCTCGTTTATGAGAAGGAAAGGGCCGCATGTGGTGCTACTACAGATGGGTCTCTCAGGTCCCGGCCAAGACCAGAGTTTGCGGTGTGCACGTCTCGCTCAGGCTACAACGATGAGGTTTTTCAGAATCTCCACTTGCTTGCAGAGGAGAAAGGGCTCAGGGTCCCGAGTTTTTTGCGTTTGTGGCTTTGGACCCCCAGCCGAGAATCCTCTGCGACTCTAGGTCCTGGAATCCCCCGCCCCAAAGCCTCAGCCCAAGGCCCTCCGCTCTCAAGTCCACCCTTCAATCCTCAGTCCTAAGAACCCTAAATCCGTGTGCATTTCAAACCTTGAAGCCTGGTTGGGGTTCAGGGTTTTGCGTTTGTTGTTGAGTTCAGGGTTCTTTGCTTAATGGCTGCAGCTCCAGCGCTCTGTCTTGGTGAAAATGACGCGATGGGCCACTGCATTTTTTGAATCCTCGGAGGCCGAATTCTGAATGTAGTGGAAGATTGCTCTTAATCTTTAATCTTGCTTTTCACACAATACGTAATGACAAGCAAGACAAACATGTGGTCCATCACTGAAGCAGTATAGATAAAAGTAGTTCAATACAACAGAGACGGCATCCAAGAAATCCTTCGAATCCGCTGTGTGGGAAAACTGGGCCCCCACAGCTTCCCTTTCTGTTCTTGAAGCGGCCTCCTGCTATCTCAAAACCCCGGTTCTTTTTCACAAGGTGATCGCAGCGAGGTGGCATGACCTCTCCCAAGACCCGAAAGGCCAGCAACAGAAGCTCCTAAACCCAAGACGCTGGAACCTTTATATCGTTTCTCAAGTCTTAACCCCCAATATCTCTTAGCTCGGCGGTGGTCGTTGCACCTTTATAGAGCACCTATAAAGAGCTTTGTAGAAGCTGTATACAACCTTGTAGAACCTTTAAACATCTTTTGGGATTCTGGTCAAACCTCCGAGAGGACACCTACAACAACCCTGCAGACAATATCATTCTGTAAAGACCCTTTTTAGAGAAGCCTTATCGAACTTGTGGAACCCCCTCAATTCCCTTGCAGAGCTCTTAACTTCAATTCCAGGAGGAGCTTTGCGAACCTGGCACCTGCCGGCACGCTCTGGCAGAGGTCGCTAAGGAGAGGCGCTGTTTCATCTGCTGCCCGGCTGAACGTTTGCATAACTTAGGGCTGTAAGGTTTGGAAGTTTAGGGTTTAGAGTAGAACCCTTCACGCACCTTCAAGCCCAAAAGCATTTAAGCATAGCTCTTGGCCCAAACCATACTGCTTACGGGGTTGTTCTGTCTTGGGCCTTGGGATGTTTTGGTTTGGTTCGGGGGGCTCAGGCTGCGGGGCTTTAGTGTTTAGGGCAACCGGGCTCGGGGGGCTCGTGGAGTTCAGGTTCATAGTTTGAGCTTTTACAGCCGGGGGTGGTTGGGGAGTTCGGGCTGTGGGGTGTTCGGAGTGCGGAGAGTTGACAACTCTCGTTAATAATGTTGGGGTAAAGGTCGGAGGGTCTTGAGAAGTAGGGGGAAAGGCTGCTGTTTAGAGTTTAGTATAGACTCAGACGTTAGTCTGTTCAGCTTACAGTTTTTAGTTTTTTTCTGGGAGTGATGTGTCGCAAGGTCGCCTAAATACTAAAGCCGCTTTCGAGCTTTACGTGAAAGCTGTGCGGATCGGTGTCCATGGTTGCAGGTTTCCGGGGCTAGGCCTGTAGGAAGATTGTTCTAGTGTTCCTGGGAGACGGTTATGCGCCGTCTTTTCGGAACCCTCAGTGGTGAAATGTTATGCTTTAAGCTTTAGCAGCTGCTGTGCTTGCAGGCTACGGCGTCCCGGGAAAGCAGGGGGAAAGCGACTTCAACATCCGGTGCCTTGTGCAGAAAAGCCTTAGTTGTCAGTCAATACCGAATGCTCATTAGATGATGAATGCACCCTCGGCCCCCAGCTGAGGCAGTTCTTTATATCTTCTCCACCGAACTTTCTCTTGTCTTGCCTGCGTTGGGTTAGCTTTTTGCGGATTTTCGGGTTGGAGGGTTGTCCGTGCTTTGTTGTTTGGAATGCTTTCAAAAAGATAAGCCGGACACAACAGGATTAAGAGCGTTCACAACTGTTTCTTCGCAACTCGTTTGACCTGCGTAATTAGAAGCTTTCCTCTAGCTCTGCAGACTTCTTGGTTGTGTGAAAGGCTCTTCCCAAAACTTCCTGGCGAACGCTCAAGTAATCCTCAACACGGAATCCTAAACCGGCTTCTACAGCCCAGGCAGGTGGTCCTGGATGACACCGGGTCTGTTGTGGCCTCCTTGCCTGACTCTAGTGCTTCTGCTTTTGGGACCAGCCTTGCAGCTTAGTTCAGCGAGTGTTTTCGGAGGCCTGATATGT